CAAATGGGCAATATCAAATCAAATAAACAGCAAAAGGTACAGTTTACAAAAAAATATTTTACAAAATATGATGGTTTAGCAAGATCTATTCTATAAATAAGTTTAAATGGCCCTTCCTTAACTTAAAGGGTTAGTTCACCCAAAAATGAAAATTCTGTCATTAATTACTCACCCTCATGTCGTTCCAAATCTTCGGAGCACAAATTAAGATGTTTTTGATGGAATCTGAGAGAACGACATGAGGGTGACTAATTAATGACAGAATTTTCATTTTTGGGTGAACTAACCCTTTAAGCAAAGCAAACGTCACGACCGAACACTGACGCCATTGCGCAGTACCGGAAGAGAAGCCCAGTTTCCGGTTAAACAGCAGTGACGATGGTTTATGTGTCAAATGGTGAGTGCTGAAAACAACTCTTGTTTTGTTAAGAATAGTAATGTTATTTTTGCTGACAAAACTCTACCTTTCTTATTATATAGTACATTGTCATAAGCGACTAACGTTACATATGTAATTTAGCGTCATTTTCTTACGCCAGCCAAGAGCTAATATATTACTTTTTTTTTTCTGTCACTCTGCTGCCTAACATACATTTTTGATATGACGCCTTGTGTTTGTATGAATTATCGCTTCGACCCGGTCTGACCAACATTTGGTTTTGTTAATGTTACAATGATAATATCCAGGTTGGGATGTTATGAAGGCTATTATGGTGAATAGCTCCTGAATATTAATTAAATGAAGCTGACGTTCTTGTAATCTTTCTGGGTCGTCAGTTTACATATTCATCAGTCCGTTTGCTGACCTGTATCTAAAATACAACCTCTGCATTTACGAAAGTCGTGTATTAAATATTCATAACAACGCTTTCGACATAGTAGGATTCGTAAATCTGCAGCCTTGCGCTGTAGTGGCCAGACCAAGCCACACATTGTTCGTACATAATAAGTTTTATATTTAGTTTGGAGCTCGTTTTGTGTGATATTTTTCTCATGTTTTCTCTCTGTGTTCAGGTCAGGTTCTGGACAGCAGGACCCGGTCGCCGTGGAGCTTGTCTTTCCTGAGCAATCTCTTCTGGGGTGCCGTCGAGTTTATTGGCTTGTTGTAAGTTCATGTTATTTGCATGTATGTTTTCTCTGGCCAGCTGGGACAGTAGTTTCAGCTTTTATTTGCCTTGCAAACATTTTCACTGGTCTCACCACAAATGAACGAGACGATACTTTTTAGTTTTAGTAATTTTTTTATAACATAATTGAAAATACTGTATTTTCACTGTATTACTGTATTTTCATAAAAACATGTCAAGTTTTTATTAATTTTTTTTTTTAGTTTTTTGCAAAAAGAAAAATCCCAATGAGCTGGAAATTGTGCAGTAACTAAATTCATAAACATACTTTTGCTGGTAAACAATGGTTCAAAACATACCGACTGGTCTGTAGTTATTAATACATTATTACCGATGCTTTCAAGAGTCTCACAAGTCATTTCTGCAATTTTGATAAAACCTCTGCATACTAGATAATTAACATTATGTTGCAGACAGACTGTCAGTCTGTGTATTAGTGGGGGGGATTTTACACTGACTCTTTCTGCAGGCTAGTGAAGATACTGATACTGAACTTATATGGATTTATAACAATACAGAATTTATATATATTTAAAAGAAAAATAGAATCAATTAGTATAAGATGAATGTGTTCACAACAAAAGACGAGTAGTCAACCCTGTTGTAATTTTTTCTTTGTTTTCATTTTGAAGTCATGAAAACTGTATACACAAGATGTTGCATTCACTCAAGACCTACACATGTTGAAAGGTGAAGAGTCATCAGTGTGTGATTTTCTGCAAAATAACCTTGACAATAAAGCATTTTACTGGACTATCATGCTTTAATGTTACTAGGAAAACATTGTATTCAGAAACAAGGGTGAACGAGGAACTGATAAGGATATTAAGAAAGGTTTTACTGTGAAAATTGTGTAATTTGTGTCATAATAAACTGAAAGTTTTTATATAGTTTATTTGTATAATGTATTAGTACAGTATTATTTTTGCTGTTAATATAGCCATTGATATTGATATGTCATTAAAAGGTATAGTTTGCCTAAATTGAAAATTTGCTGAAAATGTACTTTCACTCAGTCCATCCAAGATATAGCTGAGTTTGGGCAAATTTTTAGCAGATAATTTTTGAGTGAACTAATGCTTTAACAAACTAATATATGCAAGTTGCATCATTACGCCAGTAGGTGGCGATGAAATATTGCGAACAAATGCAATCCTACACGTCATTGCTGAAATATGTGACCCTGTACCACAAAACCAGTCATAAGATTGAGATTTATACACCATCTGAAAGCTGAATAAATAAGCTTTCCATTGATGTGTAGTTATGATAGGACAATATTTGGCTGAGATACAACTATTTGAAAATCTGGAATCTGAGGGTGCAAAAAAATCTAAATATTGAGAAAATCATCTTTAAAGTTGTCCAAATGAAGTTCTTAGCAATGCATATTACTAATCAAAAATTAAGTGTTGATATATTTACAGTAGGAAATTTACAAAATATCTTCATGGAACATGATCTTTACTTAATATCCTAATGATTTTTGGCATTAAAGAAAAATCGATCATTTTGACCCATACAATGTATTTTTGGCTATTGCTACAAATATACCCCAGCGACTTAAGACTGCTTTTGTGCTCCAGGGTCACATATATCACAGAAAACCAATCATATAAGTTTGCAAGCCCTTAAAGTATGGATCTACAAGCAGTGACCATTGTGTCAACTGGCCAGATGCTCTCTCTCACTGATTTGAGGAATCATTCATTTCCGGAGCAGAAATGCCGCAAGACAACACACACACTCTTAACTTTAACACTTAATGTTAGAGGTCTGATCTCATCACTAGGAGCACTAGTACTAGTGATGATCGACCTGGCCGAGCTAACGATCTGTATAATATCTCCACAGCTTCCAGTCTCTCGTTCAGCCAGATCTGTCTAAAGATGGACAGAGCAGTGCATCGTCTCGCTTCAGCGATGGCAGAGGGTACGTCTCAACCCTTCATCAGCAGAACCACTGCGTTTGTAGTCATGACGTGATCAGGTTCTGTGTGTTTACACTGTGATGTTCTTGCAGTCCTCCTGGATTCCCTGGGCGCAGACGGATGGGCAGAATAAACCACGGTGCGGGTCCCACCCCTCCTCCTATGGGCGGAGGAGGATGAGGAAGGTTAGTACGAGTGAAGAACCTGCAGAGCAACCTGACACAAACTTACTGAGAGGAGGTCATCAAGAATAACCATATGTTTGTCTTTTGCAGGTAAACGCCTGCACAGCGATGCAGGCGCACAGGGGTGTGACACGCTGGTTTTAGCTGCATACTGCTCAGATAGGGCGTGCACTCAGTACGTCACACTCCTCTTCCTACGGCTGCCGCTGCTGTCACGCAGTTTCTTGACGTTACTCTGGGAATTCCTTGTCTGAGGGGCCAGAGGGACTGATCATGGCAGCCAACACACACACACACACACACACACGTTACATAACTTCTCTCTCACACTTTTTTTAGTAATGTCCTCCGAAAGATCTGTTGTAGTGGATGTTGTATGTACACTTTGCATCAATAAAGTAAGTTATAATGATGATCCTTTGTGTTCTGTCGAGACTTGTGGCTTTTATTACTTGATTCAGGGTTTCTACAGTGATTTTTATATTGCTGTTTGTGAGTGCAGTCTGTTTAAATGAGCTTTTAAAGATTTGTAGTCAGGAATAACATTAATTACAGACAACACAGTCAATTCTCTCAGTACTCTTCAAGTTACTAAATAATACTAAATGGTAAATAATTTAATGAATATTATTTTGTTCACTGGATGAACAAAAACACTGAGAGACCTGACCTTTACAAAAACAGGAACTTAAATGATGTTGCATTCTAAATGCATAGACATCATTATTATGGACTTCCTCTCTTTGCCGCTACAGTATAACAGCTTCTGGGAAGGCTTTCACACGTTTTGGAGCATTCCTGTGGGAATTTTTGCCCATTCATTTGTGAGGTCAGAAAGACCCTTTCCATCCTTCACATGGCAAGTTTTCTCTTTTGCCAGAATGAGAATAGGATAGACTCTGAATACATGGATTTGGGCTGTGAGTGGATAAATTAGAGTTGAAGATTGGTCGACGCATTTCAAATGGAAGTTCTGTTTTTACTACTGAATTAATGGCAGTTCTATGGGCTTTATGCTGTACTGAGGAAGCTAAACCTAAAGAAGTTATTATCTGTTCTGATTCTGCAGCTGCTTTGGAAACATTTAAGAGTAGGAAAATCTAAAGCTCGTCCTGACATTGTAAATGATATCTTAAGTGTAGTGATATTAATATGTGTTGGGTTCCTGGGCGTGCTGGGGTGAGAGCAAAGGAGAGCGTAAAAAGAGAAGTAGATATCCATATATCAATGGAGAGAGTGGAATTGAGGGAAACAATTAAAGAGGGATTAATAAAAGAATGGCAGAATACACTACTTTTCTATACAACCTGAACTGAGGAATAGATAGTTATATACTTCTCTGTCTCGTAGGGATTCAGTTAAACTGTGCAGACTGAGGTTGGGGCACTGTGGGTTAAATAATTTTTTATGTATGGTAGTCCTGAGACAGTGGGACATGTTTTCCTAGAATGTAGAAAGTACAGGGCTGAAAGAAAATAACTCGACAGAATTAGAGGAGTTAGAGCATTTTCTATTTTATCTTTGCTTGGATACAGTGACAAACATCAACTGATGTCTGAAGCAGTTCTTCAGTTCTTGCACGATACAGGACTGTATATAAGAATTTAATTCAAATATTGACCTGTGGAGGGCAGTAATACGCCTAGAAGTGTCTACACTGCCACATGACACGTCCAGTAGGTGGCGGGAATATTATATTATTCATGAAGAGACAGACGAAGCACGTTCCTCTCCAGCCCAGCAGGTGGCGGCAATGTACCTAAAGCTGGTCTGCCACCCGCCATTAGACTGAGAGAAGTAGTTTGTTTAAACAGTCTCATGCATCAAGCAGTGTGTGGATAAATGTACTCTTAATTCATTTAGTTCATCAGCATCAGCGTCAGCATCATGACATAAACAGACAGAGACGCGGAGAACGGAAGAGACCGAGAGAAAGAGCAGCGCGTGGTGCCCGCTGCTGTACCAGAGCCATTACAGGAGGTGACAATAACATTATCCATCATCACATCATAAACAGTAGGGAGGAAGACAGAAATCAGGAAAAAGAAACAAAAAACATACTATGATTCCAACACTTTCGGTGCGTGCACCCCTTATAATAACAGCCAGGCTCGGTACTTGCAAGAAGTGACTATATCAACATAGTTGTTGTTGTTTTTTATTTATTATATTATGATAATAAAAATAGTAAGCATTTATTTTGATATTAGAAAGAATTGATTATATTTCCAAACAGCGATTTCATTCTTTCTAGAATTAGTTGTTTTTCATGTCTGTTTAATAGTGGTCAATATTTTGCATCTCCCACTTATGAAAACATAATCTGAAGTGTGTTTGAAAATGTAAATACTGTAAACACCGTTTACTGTACAATTCTGAAATGGCAAGAGCAAGAGAGTGACTTCTGTGTAAATGAGTCTTACTAGTGGAAAGTGTCTCAGATTATCCTAATGCACTTTACTTAATAGTTGTGCACTCTTATTAATAAAATAAAACATTGGGATTGTAGCGTCTGGACCAATCAAACACACAATTTTTCATTTGATTTAACAAATCAGTTATTCATTAGATTAACAAATCGTCCGAACTAAGAATCTGATGTTTCCTTCAGGCTGCAAATCTGCTGAATATCAAATGGTTCCATAACTTCATATTTTTATTTTGATTAATTATTCATATTTCCCCTTTGAGCTGATTCGCTACAGGATAGTCGGAAGCACCTCATAATTCAATGAAACAGAATGAATTCAATGAAACGTTGATTGTGACTTTCAGCAAATTCAAGCCAACTTCATTGTCGTGATTCATCCCGGGTCCAAATCTCTGCGGATGGGCCGGGCTACAGACACCCTCCCCCTAAGCGTTCCTCAGGTCATCGCCCGCAGACACAAACAGCCCGGTCAGCGCCGCCACGAGGACCAGTGCCTCTTACGAGAAGGACTGAATGCAAGTAACTTCACTGCCTCGCCATAATCTGATACTAAACATTATGATGTTGAGAGTTAACAATAATGCAGCTAATGAAATACATCAGTGGTTGATTGAACTGTATATTTTCCCTCATCTGCTGTTCACTGATGCTGTAGGCAGCAGACAGCAATGAACAGAGACAAAATGGGCTAAAAATGGTCGACCAGGTGATCTGGTCCAAGAAAATGTCCAACGGTGTGAGAAGAACCCCAGTGTCTGCAGAGCAGGTGCGTCAGACTGGAGATGAATCAGTATTGAGTGGTCTTACTGTGAACGCTTGTGACTTCTGAGTGTGTGTTTACAGGCCAGATTATACAACAGACAAATACGTCCTGCTGTGCTAGACCCAAACTCTAAAGTGAAGTGGACAAATACATCACATCAGCCTGAATATCTGGTAGGAGAAGAGGTGAGACAAGAACCTGGTCATCACAGTCATAAACGCCCTGAAAATAATCAGAACTCTTGCTTTCTCAAATGTGACAACTTCTTACAACTGTTGGAACAACTTTTTACTGTTTGTCCTTCAAACTATCCCTTTAACCCTGAACGGGGGTTTGTGACTTGATGAAAGGCTATTAATTAATTAAATCATACAACTGTAAAATGAAAACACAAGCACCCTTAAAACTACTTAAATTGGCATTATTATGTTTTTTGTCTGGATGTTTCAGCAGCAGCAATATGAGATGTTTTCTTGAAATGTTGATCATATTACACTTAAATAAAGGAATAATTAAAATAATATATGACAAATGATCGCAATATAATTTTTTACCAAATTGTGCCTTTACTTTAAAATAAAACGCTTACTTAAATACTGTTACTATTCTTCAGATTGTCATTGCTGTTTATTTTCATTGCTGTTATTATCATTGCTGTTCTACTGCTGTTTTTGTGTTTTGTGTTCACCGTATGTTGTATGTTTTGCACTCTTAATAAAAAAAATAAATAAATAAATAAAACGCTTACAAATCCCCCCCCAAAAAAAGATTTGTGCTATTAATGAAATGCAGTTACTGCTGCTTATAGAAAAACAAAAATTAGAAAAACTCATTTTTGTTGAATGCTGTGTGTATTATCTAAAAATCACTTTTATTCTTTTTTTAAATAGGCGTACATGTGCCATAATTTGATTGAAAAGTAAAAGATCGTAATTTTAGAGGTAAAATTCAAAAGGTAAAAAATGGAAATTCTGAAAAATTAAAATGTACTCACCCTCGTGTTGTTTTACAACCCCATAAGGTCTTTGATACACAATTGTGACCCTGGAGCACAAAAGCAGTCTTAAGTCGCTGGGGTATATTTGTAGCAATAGCCAACAATACATTGTATGGGTCAAAATTATAGATATTTATTTTATGCCAAAAATCATTAGGATATTAAGTAAAGATCATGTTCCATGAAGTGAAAAATTGACACTTATGACTTAGTCCACTCAACCAAAACTATCAAGCTTAAGTTCATAAAGAGATTGTAAAATAAATCCATATGCATCGAGCTGCTCAATCCAAGTGTTCTGAAGAGACACAGTCGCAGATTGAAATCATATGTAAACACTGATCAATGCACACAGAGCACATCACATCAGCCGTGCCTGCTGGACATGCGATAACAGTCCTCTCTCCGTCTCTGGTGATCAGGCGTTGTATGTGAACCCTGCAGACTGCTACAGCATCCACTGGCCCGTCTGCAGGGGACACCTGAACATCCACAGCGGGCCGGGCGGCTCTCTCACCGCTGCGCTGGCGGACCTGGAGACCATCTGGTCTCACGCTCTACAGAAACTCCTAGAAATCACGCTGAAGGATCTGAAGGTACATGAAGAACATGCTGCTTCTGTGGCTTCAGCTCACTGATCTGCTTTCATTTCACCGGCACATGGAATTGAATGATTTGACGGCTTTGTTTTGATATTTTTTAGTATTACAGATGCATCCTTCTGATCCCAGACATCTGTAACAGGCAGCACATGAAGGAAGTTGTTAATATGCTGCTGGTTAAAATGGGCTTCTCAGGTATGTCACTAAAACCATCTGCACCTGCTGATCCCATCACAAGTGAGACGGTGTCATGTACACCTCATATTCCTGACAGTTTGTGGTTTACCATGAAATATTGTGTTGCATTCAGAAATCATTATATTGCATGAATGTAAGGGAAACAGGCTAATTTAGCTCAAAGGGAATTGTTTATGATTTTATAGGGAATTTGGACAGAATCACTGTTTTACGGCTGTATACTTCTCTTTTCAATATAGATAAGACTTTATTGGACAAATCTAAGACATAAACTAATCTAACACATACACACATTCACACAAGTTGCAGAAAGAGAGAAAGTGAGGAACTAATGAGTTTAGGAGAGTGAAAATGTGAAATCCCAAGTTATAGCAATATGTGCAATTTCTTAGACCTGAACATCCATCCATCCATCATTTGTGACACTGGAGCACAAAACCAGTCATGAGGGTCAATTTCTCGAAATTGAGATTTATGCATCATCTGACAGCTGAATAAATAAGCTTTCCATTGTTGTATGGTTTGTTAGGATTCAGTGTTGCCAACTTAGCAATTTTGTTGCTAAATTTAGCAACTTTTCAGACTACCCTAGCAACTTTTCCTTCCAAAAGCACCTAGCAACAAATTGTGTGTGTGTGCGCTGTGCGTGCGCGCGCGCGCTGTGTGTGAAACAGAGCGCGACCATAACGTAGAGACCGAAATGTCATGCCTGCCGTCATGTAAATAAGATAAATTAACATAAGGCTATTTAGTTTGCTTAATAAAAGAACAAGGTATAGACCTGTTCTATTGGAAAGGTAACTTTAAATGACTTCTGTTGTGATCTGGCGCTATGGAGAAAATATAATTAGATAAAATTAACTTGACCTTCAAGCGGGGTATAATGGCAGGGGAAACACTGAACTAACTACTAATACACTGCTTAAAAGAGATACAACTATTTGAAAATCTGGAGTCTGAGGGTGCAAAAAAAAAATCAAAATATTGAGAAAATCGCCTTTAAAGTTGTCCAAATGAAGTTCTTAGCAATGCATATTACTAAACAAAAATTAAGTTTTGATATATTTACGGTAGGAAATTTGCAAAATATCTTCATGGAACATGATCTTTACTTAATATCCTAATGATTTTTGGCATTAAAAAAAATCAATAATTTTGACCCATACAATGTATTGTTGGCTATTGCTACAAATATACCCCAGCGACTTAAGACTGCTTTTGTGCTCCAGGGTCACATATAATTAACCCTTGCATTGAGTTTCTCAATGAGGCTATTAAGCTTCATAAATGCACCAGAAAAGAAAATAAACTTAAGTAAAAGAAAGAAAGAAGAAAAGTGTCACGAGACTAGATGGTTTATCTCCTCATGATGGTTGAGGATCACCTGGCATGTAGGCTAAAGAGCGCTAAAACCTTACGGCAAAAAGCAATGGATCAGATCTGCTCAAACAATTGATTCGAACAATGCGTTATACCGTTGACCATTAATCTTGGTTACTTGCCCCAAATATGACAATCTCCTTCCAGAGGTTGAATTATCAATTAGTGTTCTTTTGTTTTAATGCTGCAAGCTGTTCAAAGCTGCTAGTTCGACTTGCTTCAGACTCGCTGGCGCTAGGATCTGATTTACGATCATCCGTGTTGTCTTGGGCCTCTTTGTGAGATTCGGCTCTTTGTGTTTCATCAGTGTTCTGATCGAATCTTAAATTGTCTGATTCGCTCTGATACGCCACATAAATACAATGTTAACTTTAAAGGGGTCATAAGATGCGATTTCTATTTTTCCTTTTCTTTTGTATGTTATGTAGCTATTTGTGCATGTATAAGATCTGCAGAGTTACAAAGCTCAAAGTCTCCCACAAAAGGATTTATTCTATCTAAAAGAGAAGGCTGATCCAGACCGGGCTAAAACGGCTCATTCAAACACGCCCCCACATCTCTACGTCACGATGTGCAAATATTTGCATAATACCGCACAAATGTTCACGCAAACAATTGCTATGACAATCTGGTGCTTATTCTGAATCAGCTACTGTAAGTATGTTTTCTTAATAGTTTAAGTATTTGCTATAAACTGTTGTCTTCTTAAAGGGGTCATATGACGCGATTTCAATTGTTCCTTTCTCTTTGAAGTGTTTCAAGCTCTTGGTGCATAAAGAAGATCTGTAAAGTTGCAAAGACTAAAGTCTCAAATCCAAAGAGATATTCTTTATAAAAGTTAAGAGTCAGCCACACCTACCTAAAATGCCTCGTTCTAACACCCCCCCACATACCTACGTCGCTCTGTGGGAAGATTTGCATAACGCCGCCCAAATGTTCAAGCAAAGAAAGAAGGCGTAACTTTTATCCTCGCTGTAGTATTGTTGTTGCCACGCTGTGTTTTGTTGTGAAAGCGAAACTACTTTGTTTGGCCTTCCAAAAATGGACACGACTAGAAATCAGTGGTTAAGTTGTATTTACAACACTGTTCCAGAACAGTTTAACCCAAATATTCAGCTGTGTGCAGCACATTTTATGGAGGACTGTTTACTGATCCTGGTAGAGTAGACTACAATGCCGGCTGTTCTGACTCACAGACTGTAAGTACGTTTTTTATATTTAAAGAATTTGCCACTGATGATTCAAACGCGAGTTTTGAGCAGTGTAGAGTAGGGCTTGTTGTTTGTCATTTCTCCGATCACAAATGCAGACATGGTTTTATGTTTATGCGATGCGACGCGATGCAACGCGTAAAAAGACAGTATAAGTTAGGCCTGGGCGATAAAACGGTATCGATATTTATCGACAGTACACCTTCATCGATAACAATATAAAAAAATTTTGATATTGCGCACGATATAGGTACGTACTATGAGTGACGCAGACAGCTCACACGAACACATGCATGCAAAATAAACATTTGCATTTGACTGCAAAAATAGTACAATCGAATGTTAGATGTGCGTCAGGGAGCGTCATCAGTGGAGCACGAGATACGGTGATGATGATGTAAGTGACGTTGTTGCATTTTAATGTTTTGTTAGTCT